GTTCGTGCTATTCAATTATTCACAATAAAAGATGTCAGGGTAAGTCAATAGTTTCTATGGAAGTTAGCAGTTGCAAGGGAAAATGAATGATTACTTCAGAACATGGTTGCTGTGTACAGTATATGGGACATAGGGCCGTCACAGGCTGTAATGGAAAGTCAATGGTTGCTTTCGAAGTTACTGTCTGCTATAAAATGTGAATGGTCGCTATGGCCATTTCTGACTATTTTTCATATTTAATTGTTGCTAAATAAGTGTCTTGTTACTATCTAAATCATTTATTGTTATTGAAAGTCAATGGCTGCTAAGGAAACGCAATGTGTGCTTTCGAAAGTCAATACTTATTATGTAAGTCATTTGTTGCTATGGGAAGTAAATGCTTGCCAGGTAAATAACTGGTTGATTTACTGATTGCTATTAAAGACAAGCCTAAGGGTAAGAGCTTTATCTAAATGTTTCATTTGTTACATAATTAAATTAACGCTTCCATGTTTCAGAGAAGGAAATTTCTTCCATGTTTACTATGTACATTTAAGAATATAATATTACACCCACCGGGACAGTGCCTTTGGGTTATAGCTTGAATAAAGTTCAGCTCATATTTCCGAGAGAAATTAATAAAGAAATCATACCTTGATTTATCATTATGATTTTTATATTCTTAGTAGTAGTAGTACTTTACGCATCGGAATTATGCCTATGGCAACTGCAATGTCATTAAATGTAAGTGAAAAAAAATGTATTTGAAAATTATTGAAGATGTTAGTAAATTTTCCGATTTACCCGCATATAAAATATTTAACCTATTAATAACAAACAGTTTTCTACATAACTTGATTGGTTGTTTATATTACTTTTATTATTATTAGTATTATCATTACTTTTATTATTATTATTATCTAATTCTCATCAAGAAGTTTTAAGTATAAAGCAAATTTTCATATGCATCGGACATTTTGTTTAAAATCAGTTATAAACAAGTTGTGTGTAGTATCAAAACATTAAGTGATGGACTTTTTATGTGTTGTGTTTTTGTGGCATTTTCGATGCATTCATACGCCAAATACCGTTAAAAAATAAATAATAAAAAAAACCTCTTAATTCAAATTGTAAACTTACTAAATATGCAAACTATGAAATACTCGTTCAGGACTTGAATACAATTAAATCAGTTTAACCTTGCCATTGGTTCAATAATATATATAAATGAATTTTCGGAAACGTTTATATAGCGAGCCAATGGTTTATTCATAACTGTTTTGGAAAACATATATATTATATTATATATAATATATTTATATAAAAAAGGAATCCGCCGATGTGTACGTGTATGTATCGCTCTCCACTGAAACGTATATGTATCCATTACCTTATATCTTGAGCTCGGATACTTGTTTGTCTTTTTGGTACCATTTACATAAGATCTAACATATCACTACATCGCGTTTTCTTGACACGAAAAGCAAAAGTAGCATAGTTCAGACTTACAAATGATATTTCAAACATTCAGAATGTAGTACGCGCGACATATTGGTTTTTCATTACAATTATTTTGAATCATTCATCCTTTTGTCTAATTCGATCAAGTAGTCCTGCAGGAGATTTTCAATCCTTTTACCAAAAGAAATCTAGCCGAATAAAGACTAATCGAAAAAAAGGATATTACAATTTGGACATAATCTTAAAGAGTAATGAAAGACAACGGTTACGTAGACCATCATTATATAATTAATTTCTGTGTTTCTGTAGATTTAAAAAACAATGCAAAATGACAAACTGAAAAGATGGAGGAACATAACCAAATTATTTGCCTATGTCATTTGATTTAAAAGTGTTTATCAATGAATTCCTTGTTTAACAAAAATAAATAGAATAAGTAGACAGTCGTGCTCTAGAAACTAATTTTGTCTGATTAAATCAGGTATCATTGAAAGAGTTTAACAACCTTTAATCAAAATGTCTCTAGCCTAGTTCAAACACCAATTGATTACGAAGTTTTTAACGAAATGTGTGACTAGTTGATTTCTGTCTCGGTTGTAAAACTCTGGTTGAAAAATATGGAAGAGCCTTATTAAACATGTTGGCTTCATAATAGATTGTCACAGTTTTATTGTTAATTATATGAAAACTCGTTAATTTTCATTCATTATAGATAGGATTATCGCGAAACTACGGAAGCCAACTAATTGTAATTCTCTAAATTATTAATTCAAAATACCTTGCAAAGGGCATAGCCTGACATCAATCTGCTTCTTTGAAAAAATATAGAAGATCCACAATAACCCTGGGCAGATCTTGACAAAAACTTGCTTCGCCCTTTTTTATTTCAGTAAATTTTAACAGTTAAGCATCAATCGGACAAGTACTTCAATCATGCACTTGGTTTTATTCAATTTTCACATTAATGGAATATCCCCTTTACCATCGAGTCTGCTTTAAATAAGATTTGACTCAAAAACACAAACATATATCCCTGGTATCTTTCAAAGCCAGCTTACAAATTTGAAATACTTTATTTAAGAAAATTTTGATAAAGGACCTCACGACAGCAGTAGGATTAATATAACAATTTGTTACAAAGCAGAGAATTTTATAGGCGAATGGTTAGCCGGACAGAAGTGAAAGCCATACTGCACACTAATAGAATCTATCATTTGGTCAGATAAAGGATAGGAATATTCCTACTCGAGGGTGATCATGAAGGCTAGTTCCCGATTGAACCTTCTGTCCGAGGGTTGGTATTTTCCCAATCCTCTTTCTTACCCAATAGTATTTTTTTTTCTCATTTATCAGAAACTTTGTAAAAACTTATTAAGTTCAATTACTTCTACAATGTAGACATTCCATAGTTGACAAATAGCATTTTACAGTTGAAAAGATTTTCATCTACTGGTCAAGTTAATTTGACAAAATATCCATCGAAAATATATTCAGATGAGTTAAGTTATCATGAAGCGAGACTACATTACAAAAACATGAATGTTTACATTGTGAAATAAAATGATATTACGAAACGTTTAGTGCATACTTCAAAAGTTGCAGATTGACGTTCCTTAGTTTACAAATAGCATTTTATAGATTTTTTACAAATCAAGTTAATTTGACCAAATACTCAATGAAAATAAATTCAAATTGAATTCGTCATTAAATGCATCGTTATCATTCACGATATTCTAAAAGCGCAATGATATTGTTAACGAAAGATCCATCGAATAGTTAAAAAGTTCTATTTTATGTCACAAAATCTATCCATCGGTAAGGACCATGGCAGAGCTGGACTTTGTTATTTCGACTCTTGGAACCACTGTTTGTCTATCTCTCATGTTTCAATCCACTTGACTCTAATCAACGTTCGTTTATGTTAACAGAGGTGTAAACATCACGTTTGTTTAGGAACATGTTAAGAAGTGTAGCACATGGAGTGTGAGATAAGCCCCTATGAGGTTTATAATATCTGATATATGCTGCGGTTTGGATCGGAATATACGTCCCGAGGATAATCTGCCCATTGGGAGGTAACAAGGTTTGCCCTGTTACCGCCCATGGGCGGGTACCCGAGTGACGGATATTTCGATCTGAAACGCAAGCATATGTCAGAAATGTGTTCTCGCATTTCCTGCCATACTCTTTTATATTCAAATTGTTTACCTCATTAACACATTTGTTCATTTAAAATAATGTAATTTCATCCATAACAATTTTCTTACAATAACGTATGAATTTACAACTTTAATAACAACGCCGAACTGATGTCTTCCTTAGTAAATAGTTCTCTTCTAAAATGCGCCGATATGGCGTCGTTTTAACGCGGCAAATTTTTTTAGATTTAAAGCTGGGATTAAATAAGAAAAAATGATTATTTCTATTGATATAAATATTAAACTAAAAAGGTATAAGATAATTTTATGACACAACAAGTGATCGTTTATGTGGATAATAAGTAATACATGTACATATTAAATGCTACAAGTGCTTCTTCTTCGACACACACGTATTATAAACTTACACAAATTGTATCTTCGTCAAATTCGCCAGACGCTTTCTTTTGAAATGAAGTAACATAATTAAAAAATAATATGACCACATAAGAGAGTCTACCGTACGAGTAACTCTTTTTTTAATTAGGTCATATAGTTACATATACCTGAGAATATCAATATCTTATTGATACAAGCACAAATACAGCCCAAAGAGAGAACATAAATGTCATAATATTATACAAGTGTAATTCGGGATGACAGCGATGACGTTATGCCACTACAATGTTGTTTTGTAATGATATATACTCTTTAAACATAAATTGAATAGATAATGGATCATGGTCATATATCCTAGAAAAGGTATATCACTTTGAAAAAAATAAAAGATAAAGTATCAGGTTGCTGCAGACTCGGTTTTACTAAGTTTGTTAATCACCGATATTTAAGCGTGTTAAAGAAGTTGCAATATTTGGTGTTAGAAAATGTATGTGTTGAAATCTAAATATTGAAAAATTAATGTTATTACGGGTAATTGTTTTGTTAATAAATTAAACAAATCTCATTCGTGATAAAATATGTTCTCTTTCACGATTTTGCGACATTGACCATAAATCTCAGTAAGTGTTAAGGTATCAATTATTCTAAAACAGAATATTTATAACATGCGTATGTATACTATTAATCAAACATTAAGCATAATTATGCATAAAAAATTAAATATCACTTTACGCAATATTTAAATGACAATGGAATTATAACTAAAAATCAATTGAATGATCTTTCAGAAAGTTGAAAATATATTTTACTATTCATACTTTTAATTTAAATGATATTAATTAGTAAAGAAGTAACACGTAAAGTTGAAATAAAAAGTTTATATTGAAATCTTAGTAGGGACAGGATATTGTGCAGTGTGTTTAAATGTTACATAGGCATGAAAAGAGCATATAGTTTCAATTTGTATTAAATCAAATGAAAATGTTTGAGCCGCATGGACCATTATTTCGATAAGCACTTCTATACACGCACACGCACACACACGCACACAAACACACACCCGAATGAAATAAAAGTTGTGCGTGTTCTTTTAAACTCTAGCGTTTTATATACTTACAAACCGTGAAAAGCCTAAAGCCCCGTCATTATTTGTATCTTTACCCTGAAGGAAGAAATCAGTATCTATTACTTTATTTTTGCGAAAGATAGTAATATAAATACATGTACACAAATATGTCGAGTCAAATATAAAGTTCGGTAGGTTATATATGATATGATTGTCAATAGTTCAACTTAAAATAAAATAAATAAATCAAATCTCAACTGTATATATATATATAAACAACCCCTATTTAAATTTACAAATGTACCAGGACTGTATAATTATTAGCGTATTAAAATTAGTTTGATTTGATAAATATGATTTCACTTACAGACATTGTGTTTCAAGATTGACAAAGACTTCCTACCTGAAATCGAAATACATGTACGTGTTCATATGTGTTAAATAATAAAATAATATTATGTTTAAGTTCTTGATATATATGTACATTAGGCCAATATAATAACATATAAATAAGTCAATTAATTGAATGCAATCCCTTTTGCGAATGTATAGGGCTTCAGGTCAAACTAGTCAAACGTAAGTAAAAGGCTCAAGTAGTACCAAATAGTTGATATTGATATGTTGTTTTTTATATTTCTATCACAGAAAAAGGTATATCTTGTTTCTTTTCTTTTCAAATTAAAATACCTTATATCTTATCATGTGATCAATATAGATAAACGCCGCTTATAACGCTATTGAAGGGACTGCCGAATTTATACTATTATATCTGGATATCGTTAAATCTGAGAGGCAACCGATGTAAAAACAAGAGTCTAGACCGCCACAAAAGCATCGCTGTAAGCGGTTTATAGTTATAAGCGATATCAATATAAGTGAAGTTTACTGGAAATGTGTGTCAACTGTTAAAATAACAAAACATTATAAGTAAAGGGGTTAGATAAAAAGGTAGACATTATCCCTCCGATATCATCGATTCCAATTTTGCAATATAAACTACATATTGGAATGTGTTCACCTCTAAAATATGTGTGCCCTAGTATAATAATTTCATTCTTTTTTATCTATTTTCGTTATGATATTACAAGCCTAGGCGAAAATTTAACACAGAAAGGTGATTTATTGACAACATTATAAATATAAGGGTCTGATTTCTTAAAGGTTTATTTATCATTTTCCAATTGATAAACAAGATGTTATCTTTTCAAAAAGCAGTATTGTATCTAATTAAAATACTAATGATGGACACCAAAACCACAACAGAGACACTGTTCGGAAAAAATAATCTGATGAACAATAAGAGTAATTAATTTTGTTTGTCTAGTTCTTCTTTATAATTAACAGCTTACTTGATAAGTTAAATTTATTGGTTTGTTTTTATAATAGGTAAGTGACATTTATGTTCAACTCATTTCAGATGTGTGCCTTAGATTTAAAGTAGATTTAAAGTTGCAATATACTCGGCAAAACAGGCTATTTCTAATGGGCTTTAATATGTCCTTTGAACAGGTGGTTACAATTTATTTTAGTCTGTTTGTATATTTCAAGGAAGAGAGAGAAGCCTCAACTTTGCTTTACTATAATAATCATTCACGCATGTCTTATTTCAATACAAAAGAGTATTGAGTTGAGTAATTGTCTTACCGTTATTGCTTAGTCAGCCGAAAAGGCGAGTAGGTGTTCCAGGCTGATCATATAAGTCAAATGCAATTGCCCTGAAAGAAATGAAATTGTGAAATTAGGTATGCATCTTATAACTGATCTATGATTATCAATGTGAATAAATTATAATTAATGTTAGCAAATGATGTCCAGCGATTTTTTTTCAGAATTTAATGTTTATTTCATAAACTTCGATGTATAAAAAAAGAATAATGGTTATAAAAAAGTCATAAGCACATAATTACAGATCGAGTGTTGGATGCACGCGAATAAACACCTTAACTATTACTTTTTAGAAAGAACAACAAAAAATAAAAGAAAAAAAAACATTTATAATACCCAATTTTATTCACCTTAATATATCGAATCACAAATTATTATGAAAAGAAACGTTTTAATTCCAAACCTATAAAAGTAACTTTCACCAGGATTATAACGTATATAATTAAAATACGGATTACAATGTCCCGTCATTTTGGCACTCGTGTATTTCGATATTTCAAATTTTAGTCAGATAAAGTTAAATTCTACCATCGAAGAAAGTGAAACACAAGCTGAATAAATATGTTTCCTAATATATAAATTTTATTTATAAATTATCAGTTTAAGTATGATTATTCAAATGTCGCTCCTTTTTTTAAAATAAATTTCAGAGCTGATGCGGCTCGAACCTATAAACCTGACTTGTTATAAACGAGGCAAGCTTGTTAATGCTAATGTCATTTACGACCAAGGCATGTAATCTGTTTGCCATGTACTTTAAATCTTCTCCTTGTTTTAATTTGTAAAACATGGGTATTGCCTTACATATTATTAATAATGCTTTGCAAAAAAATATTACCTTTTGGACATTGTCTTGAGGTAATGTTTGCCTGATCTTATATAACTAGATGATTGTTACATAATAAACTGAATAATTAAAATAGTCAAGAGAACATTGAATAATAATTTGATTTAGACAAGAATAATAAGTGGCCTTTATTGTATAAAAATGTCCTGACATATTTTAGTATTTTAGTGGCTATTATAATATACTGAATAAAAAACATAAGACGTTCTGGAATGAGACAAAATGCTTGAAACAGATTAAACAGATTTATGTATGACAATCCATATGCACCCCGAAGTTTAATACACATGTATATCCACTATAGCTAGGATAATGTTATGGTTTATTGTCTGTCTCATTTACCTACGTAAATTATTTCTTTTGAAACTTCGCAAGCTTAATGATAAATAGGAAGTATTTTGTACACACTATTGCTTTCATTTTACAAGAAAAATCAAGTTGGCATACAACAAAAACACAGATTAAGATAGGAATTTGCCACACATTTAACACACAGGTATCAAGGGGGAGAATCACGCCGTTCGTTACCCAAACAAACAAGATGGCGGATGCAACCAAAAAGTAGGTTTTTCCCTTTTTTCTCTGAAATTCGTGATGTTCTAATGTAAAGGTACATATAACAACCTTCTCCACAATTTTCCTTGCACACAGGATTTTATTTCATGATGTTTCGTCCCGTACTTCATCTGAAATGTGCGTCATCAGATTCGAAGCGAGAGAGTTTTCCACCGGTTTGATCGTGGTAACGTATGGCTTTTTCTCTCAAATTCACTGTTTCTTTTACATATATGTATAAAAACTGAAACCACTGACTTTAAAAAGTTGTAATATGTTGTCAAGTAAGCAATCATGCCCATTCTGGCTAGATTTATTGCTGTAAATATTAATATCGGGGCATTTTCCGGAAATGATAACGTATGGCGCACAAAATATCAATGATAACGTACGGCGCATTTTACTACTTGGTGGATTTCCATTTGTCCAATCAGCTGATAAATAATGATTTTTATGTAGAAAATGATATATATCTGGAAAAAAAGTTGGTCAGGTCAGAAATAATTAATTAAACAATGCTGCACCATCGGATATAAATATCTTTCTAGCTGGTGGCATAATAGATATTCGTTGATAATATACTAATTAAAACACACGTGTATAGTTTGAAAATATTTTGTATTAAATGCAGAATGGAAAGAAAAGCCTCCACTTTCAGGAAACATTAGTGTAGTGTTGTCTGTCTTCACATTAAATTTCACCAGTGTTGTGCGATAATTATGGTCTTATCCCCTTATCAAAAAGAAGAAACGCATTCAGCAGAGCAAACATGTTAAAAAGGTACGGACGGCTTGATATATTTTCTTTTCCAAAGAAAAAGTCGTAAATCATTCCTAACAAATTTCTGATAAGGAAATCTAAATATTTGAACCCAACAAACATAAACAAAACGAAAAGTGATTGCGGCTAGCTTGAGATGAGCCTGTGTTTATTCAAGAAAATACATAACAGAGAATAATGAATTAAGGCCTCGCCATTTTTTAGCAGAAACATCCCTTGATGTCGCCCCAGCCAGTGTTATATCCTCGTAACTAACTCGTTTCATGTACTATAACTATTACTAAATGAGACATTTTCTGTTTAATTGACGGGCGGTTAATATGGAAACGCTACCATTTAGCGTGACGTTGTGCCACTATGACGTCAGATATATTTACGTGACATAGCCTTACAATTTTTTTTTATTATAGTGGACAGTAGACATAAAACATGCACAATAACGAACAGTTCATATAAACATAATATCAAAAATCATGAAAAAGTTTGGAGAAGATCAATTTTGATTGATAAAGTAAATACCAGCCGACATCTTCTTCAGTAGTTACATAATGAACATTTTCATATCAAAATTGATCTTTAAACCACTAAATTATAGGTCGTTCGTATATACATATACATACACACATATACATGTACATACATATAATAAAACATGCATTACATGATCCATTAATGCAAAATTGTTGTATATAATTCGATTTTAAATACATAAACGCAATTACCATATGTTTATACACATATCCTAAAAAATGAAGGTCCCTTCGCATCAATTGGGGATTTCATAATTGTAAATGAAAGGAACGTTATAATTTGATCTAAACAATTACATGCAATAATTTGCCTATCATATTCTGGCGTTTTTTTTCACAAACGCCCCAACAAAAACAATAATTTCTTTAAAAAGTATTGCAGGTATCAGCAATAAAAGAGAGATATTGGAATTTGCTTATTAATTTCTAGTGTTAAATATAAAGTTTCAAATCGGATTTGGATTTCGATGTTTTTATCCATGCCGGAAAACCCGTCTGAAACCTTTAATGCCAGACCGCTCATGCGCTTAGATAACGTCATTATCTTTATGAAAGAACGGTTTAAAAAATTATTACGCTACTCTTAAACTAGTGTTTACGAAGTATATGTTAGTTTTCATCCGTGTTGTTCTACAGAAATTAGAAACTTCGACTGGAGCGATAGCAACCGGAGAATATTTTTGTATGTTACGGTTTAGAACTTACTTTATTTCGTCACTATACTGTCCATTTGCACAAACGCAGTTCTATGAAGCACTATGAAAAAAAGAAGGTTGCTATGAATGGCCTTTGATATATAATCGACTTTTGTTCTTCTATGAAAATTTACACAAAGAATTTTTAAGAAAAAAAGCGCTTTGATTGGATGACAAATAAAGCTGGACACTTATATTATTTATTTCAGTTTCTTTACTTGGTTCTACACATCCTGTTATGTCTTGTAAACATAACTTTTCTATTATATAGAAAATCAATTAATCAGAAAAAAATGCGCCGTACGTTATCATTGATATTTTGTGCGTAATACGTTATCATTTCAAGGAAATGCCCCGATATTAATATTTTCAGCGGTTATTAGTAGTATAGGCGTCTCTTTAACGCCACGACTGCGCATGCGCGGCGCCATATTGGATTCTATTTTTAGAATGACATTATCGTTCTATTTTTAGAATGACATCATCTGTCTATTTTTAGAATGACATTATTGTTCTATTTTTAATCTCCCGGAAGTATACGGAGCTGACTTGTATACCCGATTTAGGGCGTGAATTGTGGACATTGAGGGTCAGGTCCTCGGCCCAAGACGGAGAGATAAAATTAGTATCCAAGCATTTTAAAATTGAATGGCAAAAATAATGATTCCCTTTGTTTTTATATTTCCCACACTGCGTACAGTGTACTTGACAACTGATTTAATTATTACTTTTAATCAATGTTCTCTATAATACACGTTTAATTTAACTCAAATAACTAACATTTTAAATGTATTTCTTCATATTTAAAATATACCCTTAATACATAATTTATCTTATACATTTTCAAATAAGGTTACTAACATATTTATTTTAAGTATTTCTTTATAAACATTTAATAAAAATATTACCTCTTTACTTCTTAAGCTCCAGCAACGAAATGACTCCAATATTAAAAGTATTATCCCTTAATGCGCATGCTTGGATCTGATGACGTCACCAATGCAATAAAACAAGCTCCAACATGTTGCGCGTCTATTTATTTAAGGCCGACTGGGCGGACAATTCAAAGTAAACATTTCTTGTTTGTTTGTTTGTTTCATTTTAAAGTCGCCGCACTGTCTGGCGTGTGTTTATTTAGGGACGGATACATTAACAATGGTCTATTCAAGTGCCAAGGCTAGCTTGTTTACATTATTTGGCGTGTGTTGATTTAAGAGCAGATGTGCGGACAAAGGCCCATTCAACTGTCAAAATTAATCCCATTGAAGTCACCACGAGGTTTGGCGTATTGTTTATTTAGGGACGAATACTTTAACAATGGTCTATTCATATGTCAAAATTAATCCCTTTAAAGTCTCCGCGCTGTTTGGCGTTTGTTTATATAAACCCGAATGCGGTATAATGGGTATTAATTTTGTCAATAGAAGTATTGATATAAAGGTTTAATACCCTAACAAAGGGTATTGTACTTTCAACTTACGCGACTGTTTAGTTATGACCAGTTTGATCCGGTTTTTTTTATATTTAATTAACCAATGAAATTGCAGCCTCGTTTTGAAAACGAGGCTCTGTGGAGAGTATATAAGAACACGCACGAGCTCCCATCGTCATTCTGATTTCAGAACTCGAACAAGTAACATGGA